GGTTCCGACTCTCGAGATTGGGTATGACTGGCTGATGACGGCTAACAAACCAGAAATGGTCATACCGGTGTCCCTTTTCTTCGTCAGATTTCTTTAATCATATCCTACTAGTCGATAGGTGACTGCCTGTGTGGGATCTAAAGTGAGCTCCAGAGCAAAACCGGAACGTAGATTGTTCCACCCCATAGATCGGCGATCCCCACATGTTCATAATATTCCCTATCGCAACCGACAATGCAATGAGCCCGTGGTGCAATCGTAGTGGTAAACTTAACGACCAGATGTCTCGCGTTCGAATCTCGAGGGTTCTGACCCTTAAATATGGTTATGATTGGCTGACGATGGTTAACAAGCCAGAAATGGCCATGCCGGTATCCCTTTGACTTGTCGGATCCATTTCATCATCATATCTATGACTCTCCGAAGCCACCACTGTGAAGCCTGTACTGCAAGTTCCAGTTTCGGGCGCACAAATGCTCTATATACCTTACCGAGGACCTCAGCCTTCACTTTTGCAAACGTTCTGCATGCCGCACTCCTAGTTTACATTGCCCGTTGAACACGGTGTTTTTACGTTCAAGTCATCCTTACCGAATGCTCCAAGGTCTTCTTGCCTAGTTTGGGTTTTAAGTGGCCTATTAGCCAGGAAATACCATCGTGAGTGTGTATTAATTCTGCATCTGGATGGCATTATGTGTATCATCGGAATTCTTCCTCTTGCTATGGACAGGAGTATGGTAACGGAACAGGAAGCCACAGGGACCACCATAGGGAGCTCAATGGATTTTGTCGATCTTTCTAATGATGAAACTGAACTAAACGGAACATTCCAGAACTCTGGTTACTACTATTTTATGAGCCAGACAGTCGATTCTTCTAGGAGGGCTCAAAATCCGGTGAAACTCAAATTTCCTCTTATGCTTATCTTGGCGGGGCCCTGCATTATTAGCACAGTCTCTAGCCCACTTGCTTCTCCCGTTCTGACCTCTTTTATTTAATAAAAGTATTTTAGCTCAGCGCCGCACTGTCGTCCCTCCTATGCGTATGATAATTTTTGCAAAAAGTCCACGGACAGTACGTTCCTAACCTCAGCAGGATCAAGTCGCTTTAGCAACTGAAACATTGCTATAAGATCACCCCTACCCTGTCTATATTAGGTGTGGTAGAGTTATAGGCTCCAATCTCGGAGGTTCAAACCCTTGTTCTTAGGCATAACTGACTGATGACGGCTAGCAAACCAGAAATTTTCATTCTGGTCTCCCTTTGCTTCGTCGAATCCATTTCATCATACGTATGTGTCTCCAAAGCCACTACTATCAAGCCTTTACTGCATGATGCAGTTTCGGGCGCACAAATGCTCTATGTATCTTACCTAGGATATCAGCCTTCAGTTTTGCAAACGTTCTGCATGTCGCAATCTCAGTTGAAATTGCCCTAGAACACGGATTTTTTACGCTCAAGTCGTCTTTTAG